CCTCCCACACGTTAGGTATCCAGACACAATATAGTGTCCAGCTGAATGCATCTACCCTAATCACAAGACCTTGTCCATGGCATTGTCAAAAATTTCCTTCTTTACCCCCCACCAAGGGCGACTTCGTTGTGTTGCTGCACACAATATGTTGTTTTCAAACCACTGCCCTTAGAGAGACACAGGGCTTCTCCCAAGTGCTCCTGGTTAATTTAGAAGCAAGCAATATGTGGAAGTCATTGTAATTACTCCTTCCAGCCAGCAACACCATTGAGTTGTTGTTTCCTCCACCTCTTAAGCCCTGTTGCAGGTTTGCAACTCTTGCAAGGCTTGGCTTACCAGAAAAAAGTGGTCTTGTCTTGCTCTCTTCTTCCCCAGATGGATAAGAAGCAGCCTCTGCTTCCTGCAGAGAAGGATGGAAATCAAATATTTATTCCTACTCTTAATTTTCTGTCTCCCAACCAGTTTCTAATCTCTCCATAATGCCTTTGTTTCCTGGTAAGCCTTATATGGAGGCATTTGCTGTAAGCTTTTAAAATGTCTGGATAAATTAGATCAACTTTTCCTGTGGGTCCTCTGGTCTGCCTAACTGGCTGTGAACCTCGGGCAGGGGGGATAGGAGGTCCACAGAAGCTGTGCCAGTGGGCTTCCCCCTTTCTCCCTTCTCGGAAGTGATGGATCCACGTGTTCTGGGGACACTGCTGGGGTTGGGATCACTCCAGCATCTTCTGGCGGGGAGGCAGAGGACAGCACCCAAGTCCTTGCCCGAGCACCTCCTGGCATTGCCTTTGTTTCTGCTTTTCTGATGGAGGTTTGCACAGATCTTGGCGTGGGCTGGGTTTCCGGGTTCCGGAGGAGATGGGGTTTATGCCAATAGCCTACACGAGTGGACAGGCTGTTTTCATCCTTCTTCATCCTCCTGCACGTCTCCTGCCTTGGCTGGTAGCCCCAAAAGTCCCCTGCGGTTTTCATAGGAGAGTCTTCTGGACCAGTCCCCACCTCCCCCTCCTCCTCCCATTTCACCTTCTCCTAAGTTTGTGACCCAAGCAATGGTTTGGGACATTTCCTTCCCTAAAAAGTGCTGTCCTTCTAATTATGTTCCTGTTACTTGGGTGCACGAGAGAAGGGGTCGCCTCTCGAACCCCCTTCTGTTGGTGATGGGGTTGAGCCTCCAGCTCACCAAAGCCCTTGCGCATATGCTTCAGCTGAAGTACATACTCAGCTATCTTTTTTCTTCAAAAAAACCCTCAAATTTGAGATGTGCTGAAGGCAAGAGCTTCAGGCTTTGTTTTAATGGCATTAAATACCCTCCAGAAGGAGAAGTAGGAGCTGTGGCGATGGTTCTGCCTCAGCAAGGAGACCCCACCAGCATGCCAGGAATGGCAGAGCCCTGGAGAAAACTGAGTCCACTGGCTTTATGTTCCCCAAATATTGGTGAGGTTGTGCCTTTGCTAGGAGGGACAGGACCCACTGAGGAGCAAAAGCATCGTGTAGTTCTGGCCACAGGTTACTCTAGAATAGGTGGCTATTCTACCACTATTCCCTGTGCCTAGCTAGGTTAGGGATCACCTAGTTCTAAACCCCCTGCCATGGGCAGGAACGCCTCATGCTAGACCATGTCACCCAAGACTCTATCCAGTCTAGCCTTGAACACTTCTCCCACCTCCCCAGCAGCAGCCTGTACCCCGTGCTGCTCCACAACGGGGTAGATGAGAGCTGCTCAAACTGTGACACCCCCCACCCTGGGCACCCAGATCCTTGTAATGCGAGCCACACAGCTGCGGGTCTGGCCATCTCCCTCCAGGGATGCCACCCTAAGCATCCCAGGGAAGGACACCACGGCTTGAGCCGGCTGGTCCCCTCCATCCCCACAGCAACCTCACATCCCTCAGGAGGCTCCAACAGAAAACATCACGTTTATTGTTCACAATCAGCTTTACAAAAGAAACGTCCCAACACTGGCGCGCATCAGGGGCCCATCACAAGCGTGCGTGAGAGCAAGCGCGCGAGCGGGTGGGGAAGAGGGGGCAGCCCAGCAGGGTGCGTGAGGATCACAGTGTTTCCCACTTGGCACGAGGGCTGTGCCCCATCCCCACCATGTCCCCCCCACTGCTGGTGGGGACGCTATGTGAGGCGATTCTGCATGGCTGGGCTGTCCCCTCTGCCTGCTTTGCCCCCGCTGGGCATAGGGGCAGCCGTTGCCAAAAGCACAAAGTGGGACTTGGGGTAATGGGGAGCACTGGAAGCTGGACACAGCACTGAGCAACCACGAGACCCCTGAAATAACCCTCCCACCCTCCGCAGACACACACACGCACTCACATATCTACACGTTGGTCACCACACGGCGTGGAAACAGCATATTCTCAGGCACTCCACGGGGAAAATACCAGCTTGCCCGATCACCTTCCCAGTCCGAAGGCTGGTGGCAGCCCTGTCCCTGGCCAGGAGCAGCTCAAATCAGGAGACCAAGAAGGCAAGGGCAGCAACTCAATCCAGTGCCACCACCATCCTCCATTCTCCTTTTTTCCCTGCTTCTGCTCCATTCAGTTGCGGTTGCTGCACTCCTTCCCCCTCGGCCAGGGCTGGGGGAGATGCTTTACCCCTTTCTCCCATTCCCTCGATGGCCAACTGACCCCGCAGCTTGCAGGTGGGGTGGCCTGCTGCTTCCCCCTGCCTCAAAAGCCTGATGCCCCTCAGACAACCCTGCTTGAGCAGGCAGCAGCGGCAGGAGAAGGGGTCTAGTGGGGGGAGCACTGCCCTGCCAACCCTACGCCATCCTCCCTCACGCTCCCCAGGGCCATGCCTGAAAAACCAGGGCAGCAGGAGAAGAGAGCTGAAGGGGAAGATCCTCCCAGCCAAGCCTTTGGGCTCATTCGGAGTACAGGCTCACAGAAACAAGAGATTGCAGCACTATAAATAAATAAATAAGGAAAGGGGATGTGCTCAGGGGGTGCCTGCACACTTGGCATCCCACCGAGGCTGGACTATGCTCAGGGTAGATGCAGGTCACCTTCCCACACCCTGCTGGGGCTGACAAGGTGGGGACCCTCACCATACCAGAGATACCTGTGGGTATGGTGAGAGCCTCCCAAAACAGAAGCAGGGGAAGGTAAGACCCAGGGGCAGGCGTACCAGGAGGTGGGACAAGCCACACTGTCAGTGTGGGAGCCAGGGAGGCTG